GGGTTCCGCCCTCTGCTTGCAACACCCTGAGTGGCCCAAACCTCCTTCCCATCCCAGCCTGGACCCCCCCATCGCCCGAGCTGGGAGGAGGCCGTCTGGTGAACACTTTTGTGCAAGTGAGCCTGCAGCGAGGACCCCACCTCCCCGCGGCAAGCCCCCGCCACTCCGCACATCTCTGAGGTCAGTTTCAGTCATTAACGACCATCTCTACTAGGCAACGTGTTTTTTGTTGATCCCTCGAGATAGGAAGGAAGGAGAATAAGGCTTTCTCTTTCTTTTTTCCCCCCTTGGTTGCAGAAAAGGGAAGCTGGAACAAACAAGTTATATAACGTTGGGGGCGGTGGGGGGTGGGGGAGTGCAGTCCCTCCTGGGGACAGTTTCTTGAGTTGTGATACTGCTAGAAGGGCCAAGGGGAGGACAGCAACCGCCCCCACCCCTGGCCAAATAACAAAACCCTTCATGCCTGGCAGGCTACAAAGCCAGCCTCCCTCTACCCTTGGCGGCCCCACTAGTCTCCCCCAAAAGGCAAGGGACTAGTCCGATTCCACTGGACAGAGGGGACATCCTACCTGCCAGACTGCAAGCCTCAGAGAACAGGAAACTTTTCCACACCCCTATGCATCGCTCCCAGCCTCCTCCCTCCCGGCTGTATTCCCTCCGTACTGCCCATGCTCCAGGCACGCGAGACAGCGCAAGAGAGACGGACTCCCCATCCTCAAGGCACTTCCGCAAAGGAACACACGAAATAATGTCAGGCGGTGATCAGCGTGACCAAGAACACACAACAACTGTATGATCCGGCATTTCTGCTCCTAGATGTATACCCCAAAGAACTGAACAGAAGCGTTGGGACAGAAACTTATACAGGTGTGTTCACAGCAGCATGATTCCGTAATAGGCAAAAGGTAGAATATAAATGTCTGTCAAGTGACGAATGGATTAAAAAAATGTGGCAGGCCGGGCGTGGTGGCTCACGCCTGTAATCCTAGCACTCTGGGAGGCCGAGGCGGGCGGATTGTTTGAGCTCAGGAGTTCGAAACCAGCCTGAGCAAGAGCGAGACCCCGTCTCTACTAAAATTAGAAAGAAATTAATTGGACAACTAAAAATATATAGAAAAAATTAGCCGGGCATGGTGGCGCATGCCTGTAGTCCCAGCTGCTTGGGAGACTGAGGCAGGAGGATCGCTTGAGCCCAGGAGTGTGAGGTTGCTGTGAGCTAGGATGATGCCATGGCACACTAGCCCGGGCAACACAGTGAGATTCTGTCCCCCGCCAAAAAAAATGTGGCATATCCGCACAATGGAATATAACTCGGCCATAAGAAGGAATGAAGTGCTGATAACCGCTATAACGTGAATTGACCTCAAAAACATGACGCGATGCTGTGTGGAAGAAACCAGATGCAAAAGGCCACACAGTGTGTGATTCTATTTATACAACAGGAAAATCGACAGAGACAGAAGATAAAGTGGTTGCCAGAGGCTGGGCCAGGGGGACTGAGCAGTGACTGCTAATGCGGACAGGTTTCCTTTTAGGGTGATGCAAATGTTTTGGCTCAGTGAGGACTTGCCATATGCCTGTAGTCCCAGCTGCTCAGGAGGCTGAAGTGAGAGGACTGCATGAGGCCAGGAGTTCAAGGCCAGCCTGAGCACACAGCCAAAGCCTATCTCTAAAGAAAAAAAAAAAATGAGAACAAGAAAGAAAAAAAATTCCTTCTTGTGGGGAAATAGGAAAAAAACGTTTTGGAACTAGATAGAGATGATTGTTGCACAATTCTGTGAATGTACTAAATGCCACTGAACTGTTCACTTTAAATGGGTGAATTTTATGTTATATAAATTTTACCTCAAAGAAAACCAAAACACAGCAAGGTGACCAGAAAAAGTGTTCTACTTGAGCTTGGGTGGTCAGCCAGGTGGCTCTGAGAGCCCATGACCTCGGAGAGTAAAAGGATGAAGCGGAACGAGGCATGGGCAGGCTGATGGGGGGGGCGGTGCACCAGGCCTGGCTGGCTCGTTTGCAATAAATGAAGGAACAAAGGGACGAACAATGCTACGGAGGCCTCCACGTCTCAAAAGGATCTTCTTTTGATCCTTGTACCAATCTCCCTCAAAACCTGATCAATTTTCTGTATACTCCATCTTGCCACATTAGGGGGTCTCCCCACACTTGCACCCGAGGGATAAGACACCCCTAACCGTTACTCCAGACAACAGTGATTTTTCACTGGGCTGCTACTTAGGAGGCTGAAGAGGGAGGATTACTGGAGGCCAGGAGTTTGAGACCAGCCTGGGTAACAGAGTAAGACCCTGTCTCCAAAAAAAAAAAAAAAAAAAGTGCCTCTTTTTAGGCAAGATTTCTTAAATACATGACCCCTAAAAGAAGAATGCAGGGAAATCGGACCTCACCAAAATGATAAACTTATGCCTTGGGAAAGGTACCACCCAGAAAATGAAAAGACAAGCCACAGACCGGGAGAATATTATTTGCAAATCATATATCCAGTGAAGGACTTGCATCCGGAATATGTAAAGTCCTCTCAAAACCCAATAATAAAAAGACAACCCAATTTAAAAATGGGCAAAAGATTTGAAAAGATGCTTTACCAAAGATACGAACAGCCAAGAAGCTATTGAAAAAATGTCCAATATCATTAATTATGGAAATGCAAACTAAAACCAAAATAAGATACTGGCGCATACCTAAAAAATGGCTAAAACTAAGGACCAGCCATCCCACTTGTGGATGAGGATGAGGAGCAACTGGAACTCTTGTATGTTGCAGGTAGGGATGCAGAATGGTGCAGCCCTTTGGAAAAGAGCTTGGCAGTTTCTTAAAAAATTAAATGTACATCTACTAAATGATTCAGTCATTCCACTCTTAAGTATTTACCCAAGAGGATGAAAGTATATGTTCACACAGAGACACATACCCAGATGTTCACAGCAACTTCATTTGCAATGGTCACAATGGAAACCGCCCAACAGTCCATCAACCAGTAAATGGATAAACAAACCGTGTCCACCCACACACAACATCATAAGGGTGGACACAGTGTGTTTATTTTCATTCCACAGTGAAAAAGAACAAAGTTCTGATACTCACAACTACATAAACTTCAAAAACATTACGTTAAGGAAAGAAGCCAGATGCAAAAGGCCACGTGTTGTATGATTCTGTTCACATAAAATTTCTAGAAAAGACAAAACTATAGAGAGTGAAAGCAGATAAGAATGTCCCTGGGGCTGGAGGGGGTATTGGGGTTGACTGCGAATGGGCTTGGGGCAACTCTTCACGGTGATGGGAGCATTCTAAACATCTGGACTGTGGTGATGGATGCGCAACTCAATAAATGTATTCAAACCCAATGAACTATTCAGTTAAAATGAGTGAATTTCATGGTATGTAATGCATTATACCACGATAAAGCTGTTTAAAAAAGAGAGCCCTTGCCCCAAGTTATCAGAGTTTCCCTGTCCCTCTTGTCTGTCCCTTACTTGCCACCTCATGCCCAGTCATCAAGCTCTGGCCATTCTACTCCCTGAATGCCTCCCCAAATCCTCAGATTTCTCCTGGCTCCTTACTATAGGCATCTAGCCTTACCCCACACCTGCCCTGGAAGGCTGGTCACCCCTCTGTGCACACACCTCCCGGGCTTCCCACAGCCACCAGCAGACGAAACTCAGTGCTTCTCTCTGCCCACACACCTAAGCCTCAAGGTGTCACTCAGCATCCCCGGGAACAAACAGGGCCTTTGCCTCCTCGGTGTCCTGGCCTGGCCATCCCCCCCCTCCCTACCCCATCCCTGTTCCATCCCACCAGGCCTCCCAAGCCCGACTCACATGCCTAGGCCATCAGGCCATTCCTGCCAGCACCAGCCCAGAGTCCCGAGAGGAGGACCAACTACACTGCACACAAGTATCGACCAACTTCATCATTTACCACATTGACTGAAAATTATTGGCTCCTGGAAGCTCACCAGTGAGAAAGAGCCTGAATTTCCTCCTTGGCCAACAGAGGGTGGCGGGCTCCCTGGGGGGCCAGGGTGGGAGGGTCTAGCCTTGCCCAGTGGGAAAAGAGCAGGAGGTCATGCCAAGGCAGGTGTTCTTCCCCTCTGAGAATCCAGAACAACGCGTAAAAGCACCTACAATGTTTATGCAAATTCTGGGGTTCAAGCAACCCATCTCAGGACTTGGCCACGGGGAAAGGGGGCCTCCCCCTGACCAAAGGGGTGAATTCTGCCCGCTTGTCTGAGGGCAAGACCTTGCTTCAAATCCTTTAGCCTTGGGGGTGTGGGGAGATGGATTTGAACCTCATGGGGATGGGAAGATGGAGCCCCAAGAAGGACCCTCTCTGGGGTTTCTATAGACCCTTCAGGCTCTCTCACCATATTCAGGCTCCCCAAGACCACCCCAGCCCCTCAGGGCCTCTGGGACCCCCAGACCCCCTCAACCTCCCACTCTCAGGCTCTCGGTTTCACTTGAGCCCTCCACCCACAGCCTCCCCCAGTCTTCACCCCTCCCAGGTCCCTTCAGCACACTCCCAGGACCACCTTCAGCCACCTCAGGGTCCTTCAGCCCCCCCAGGAAGCCTTGGGCCTCAGCCTCCTCTTCAGAGCCCCCAGACACCCTCAACACCTCAGACTGCCCATGGCCCCTGCTCAGGCCCTCTCCGCCGCCCAGATCCTTTGGCAGCCCCCGTTCCCCCATGGTTCCATCACGGTGGGGAGCCCCTCGGTTTCCCTTCAGACCTCCAGGATCCTCAGGCCCATAGGGCAGCCTGCAGACGCCTCGAGGTCCTGGGGCGCCCAGCCCCCCTTCAGCCGCCCCCTCAGCAGCCCTCGGTTGCCCCAGTATCCCATGGGCCCGTAAAGTTCGCAGTCCCTGCAGAAGACCCTCGAGCTGGTCAGGCCTCTCCCTAGCCCCTCAGAACCCCCAAGACACCACATAGGTCCCTGGGCACCGGAACAGGTGCGGGCCCACTCTGCGAGCAGGTCTCACCTGTTCGGGCGCTCGGGGCCTGGGCCCGCGCCGAACGCGCCGCCGCCGCCAGCACCCCCGCTGCTGCCGCCGGACTCCGCCATCTTCCCGCCGCCGCGCTTCGGAGTGACGGGAGCCGCGCGCGCCAGCCGGGGAGACCGAGACGCGGGGCGCGGGGCGGGGCCGGGTCTACGGAGGGGCGGAGCCGGGACCAGGGACCAGGGATTGGGGC